AGTCAGCATCACTATAGTCATCCCTTGGACAATGATCATCTGGGTCATCAACATCGTGTTCTTCTATATGCTGACTACTTGAGTTATCATCATGTTGTTGCTTGGAGCACTGATAACTTGAGTTATTAACATCAGTCACTACTGCCTCTTTCTCAGCCTCACTCACATTTTCAGAAGTCTCAATTATTTCATATATGCTATGTTTTAAAGTTGGAAGAAATTTTTCATATAGGTATTTTACCCCATCTGCAAAAAAAAAAAAAAGACAGACAATAAAAAATAGGAAAGGTTATATTAAAATATATATATAATATGAAAGGCTTTAAAGGGGTCCTTCAAAAGTAATGAACCTGAGTTACAAAAGCTTATTGCTCTAGGCACTGATAATGCTTCTCTTATGACAGGTGTCAACAATAGTGTGTTTAAAAAATTTAAACCTTAAGTTGAGTATCAAGAGTTTGAAAACTATTTTCACAATTAACCGTTTGAGGGGCCCGTCCCATAGTTCTATGGCTTTGAAGTCACTGTCAAAACCATAGTTCTACATGACCAGTAAATTTGGGCCTAGATATGAGAGAATAGATCTATGTGGTAAGTGTGCACCACATGAAACAAATCCTGCAGCACACAGTGCATAATGAGAAAAAAAATTGTGGCCGTATTTTTGGATTAAAACAGCAACTTTGCAATATTTTTTCGTATGTTTTTTACAGTTATATTCGCAGCTTCTTGGTCTCATTTGATAGAATGGAAGATATATTGCAGAAACAGAGATGATTTTGATTGGTTTTATTGCCAAAAATGGCTTGAAACTGAAAGTAGCAAAAAATGTTCATTTTGCCTGTTCAAAAGTAAAAAAATACATCAACATCAATTACACATCGTGGTGGGCTAATATTTCACAAATGCACTGATATTTTTTAACAAAATTAAATATTCATAACAGTAAATTTTCTATTTTTTTGGGTGAATAAAAAATTCGTTATGTTAATTTCTTTCATCTGTAAACCCGGAAACATAACTAATAAACAGAGGAAAGTTATTTTAGTCCCGGGAATTCTGCATTTTTTTTTTCTGGCCCCTTTTTTTCAAAGGGGAAATTTTTGAACTTTGTGTAAAATTTGGGCCCAAATTTTCCAAATTCCCGATATTTATGGGATTAAAAAGTTAGGGGGTACACTCCCGAAATTGCTAAGTTTTGGTTACGGGAAAAATGGCTTTTTTGGCCCCTAAAATGGGAGCCAAAGTCGGAAAAATCGCCAATGCGTAAATATTGCTGAAGCAGCAAAAAATTTGCAAGAGTGTAATTTTGCAATTTTCCATCAATTTTTTATTTTTGTTTTTTACCTTTAAAAAAAAGATTCTCAAACATTTTATAAAAAAAAAATAATTTTTTTTTTTAATTCTTTTCCCTGTGGGCAAGTTTCAATCAGGGGGGCTGGCCCCGAAAAGGGGAAATTTAACCCCTTTAGGGGCCGTGCTTTGATTATGCTTTACGTCGAGGGTCCAAAACCGAAAGATCTAGTCATGAGTCAGCTCCTCTGATAAGCTGTAAGTGGTAAAATTTTTGGGCCTTTATATAGAGAAAACATCATGTGGTATGTGTCACCATAAAAAAAATCCTAAGTGCACAGTGCATAATGAGAGAAAAAAAAAATGAGGGCCCTAATTTTCAAATTAAAACAGCGATTTTCAGTGTTTTTTTTTATGCTTTTTATAGTTGTAATTGCGATTTCTTGGTCTCATTGGAAGAATAGAAGACAATTTCAGAAATAGAGATGATTTTTATTTTTAAGTTGGAAATGGCTTGAAGCAGAGCTCAAAGTGCGGAAATGTTTTAAATTTTTGCCGAAGTTCAGAGTAAACAAATAAACCCCACACATCTAATCATGCCTGCTTGTGGGGGCTAATTTGTTCACAAATGTTGATTTAAATTTTTACAATTATTACAAATTGCATTAAAGGGCCAAATTACAATTTCTTCCCTTTTTTTTGTGTTAAACATTGACTTGGGGGAATTTTTTTGTGTCAAACACAGAATAGAAGTAAAACTAGTGAAAACTAGTTTGGCGATGGAATAAAGTAAATTTGGGCCCAAAATGGGGTTAAAGTCCGCAAAAAACGCCGGCGTAAATATCACTGACACATAAATTGCGAGGCATAATTTCATCAATTTTCCATCAAATTCGTACTTTTGTTTTATTTTTCAGAAAAAGATTCTTACCCTTTCACAAGAAAAATAACAAAAATTTTTTTTGAAAATTCTTGGGCACTGGTGCACCTTTGAAATTTTGGCCTCTGGGCCCCGAAAGGGTTTAAATCCACAACATTTTACCTATTGTCTACAATTCTCGAAAAAGTCAAGGCCAGGGGTCCCGGGCAACAAAATAAGACCCCGTACCCCTAAGAAACCCAACACCACAGGTGAGAGAAGCATTACCATAAAGGAAAATTCACTGCCACCAGGACACAACCCCCAGTACCCACCCCCACCACCCCA